GCCGCCAGACTCTGGGAGAAACTGCTCTTCCAGACAGAGCCAGCAGCCTTGACTGGTCACCTTGTCCAGACACAGAAAACCAGAAGCAAGCAAGCAGCCAGCCTCTGGAAGAAACTGCTGTTCCAGACACAGCCAGCAGCCTTGACCAGTCACCTTGTCCAGACACAGAAAACCAGAAGCTGACCAACAACACAAGTGTGATGCATAGTCCAAGTGAGCAGATTCCAGACAGTGGGACTCTGTCTACTGATGATGAGGTTCAGTCTTATAAGATTAGCAAATTCACGAGAACCATCTCCCCACCCACTCTGGGAACACTGAGAAGTTGTTTTAGTTGGTCTGGAAATCTTGGTTCTTTTTCAAGAACTCTGAGCCCCTCTCCTAGCACAGCATTGCAGCAGATCCGAAGAAAAAGTGATTCTCCCACCAGCCTGCCAGAGAGCTGTGCTGTGACTGACACATGTCAGTCAAAGAGTGACGCATCGGGCAATGAGTCGCAGCCCTTGCATGAAGTGGGCTGGCCCTTGTCTCTGGGAAGCATGGAATCACCTCACAGTTTAAGTGCATCAAAACTTTCTCAGCCTTCTAGTAAGGATTCAGATTCAGAGGTGAGTCTATTCTTGAAACCTTGGTTTTCAGATTCATGTGCAAGAGAAAATGGGGTATTAATCAGACAGCTGAGGACATTTTGCAAACACTGGAAATAAACTGGCTATCAATTTTTTTACTCAAAATCCTGCTGTGTATAAAGTTCACCTTTTATTCATTTGAAGGCCTATCTCATGCTTTAAACTCCTTAGACATCTAAACTAATGCTTCCTGAATCATTGAGTGTTCATTGACAGGGACTTAAGTTGTAGCTCAGTTATCACCTAAACAGGATAGTCTGTGAAATGAATAATTAGCATAAATTTACTACTTAATGTATTGCTATTCAATATAATTTTGAATTCAGGTAACATTTGATGCCTTATGAAGAAATGGTCCTATTATTGTGTTGGTGTTTCTATTATCTTAGTGCTTTAGAAATATGATTTATTTTTATTTCTGGCAAAGCTCCTTTTGATTAAAAACAGAATAATTTTCTTATTCTTTTACATTAATGCACTTAATATATAAAATATGTAAATATTTCTATTTTGATTTAATTGGCATCAAAACCATAAATGAATGCTGGTCACAAGATCCAGTGATATGTTTTGAAATGACATAGTGACTTCTTAACTTTCTTTAAATCTGTTTTCTCAAATTGCCAATATAACATGCTGTTTTGTCTTTACCAAATATAATTACCAAATTGTAAGAACAATTTAATTTATGGTAATATTTGGCAAAATTTTGATGTCTAAATGATGTCTAAATTCTAAATGTTGAGTAGCATGTAATAAATCAGTATAGGTTGTTAAGAAAACACTCAAACACTATCCACTAAGCCATTCACCAGCCTGAAAACACTCAAATTTTATTGGATCCAAATTGAAGAAAGTAGCCGTTAAAATATGGAAATAAATAGTTTTCACTTGGAGAAAGCTGAAATTAGTTTATCTGCTTGAATTCTGCCTGTCCTTGTGACATTCTTTAAGATTTTGGGAACTTGCTAGGCCAAATCTGTGCCTGCAGTTGGGACAACTGCCTTTTTTTCCTTTTACTTTAAAAAAAAAAGCTTATATTTATTTACTAATATTGTGTATTTGTGTGCGTGTGGTTGCATGTGCCACAGTGCATGTGCAGAGGCTGAGGGGCAACCCTTGGGTTCTCCCCCTCTACCACATGGATCCTGGGCATTGAACTCGGGTTGCCAGGCCCAGCAGCAAACCCCCACGCCCACAGAGCCGTGTTACAGACCACTTCTCTCTCTTTGCCTTCAGTTGGCCCATGGTGGATACTGTTCTACTGGTCTAGAAGTCTCTGTTCCCTCTAATATGAACCTCCACTGCGTGGAACGTGACCTCTGGGGCCATTTGTGTTGGCAGGACAGTTGCTAGTCTTAAGCGTCTTCCCTAGCGGCACAGCTGTTGGGAAGACATGGAAAGCCTGCTTTTGCGGGCATTTTCTTTTTCCAGCACGTCTTCCTGTCTCACTTTGAGAGCTTTCAGCTGAATGATAAGAATCCTTCCTCATCAGCTCACAGGCTGGTGGGCTGCTCATGCTGATGGCTGCTCATGCTGATAGCTACTCTGCCTTCTTGGAATAGGCGTCTTTTACACTCATCTGATGTTGAAATAGGGACCCAGCCAGGTGTGGGGTGTACGCATGTACTTGTAGCACATGGGAGGCTGAGGCAAGAGGATCATGAGTTTGAGGCCTGCTTTGGCTACATGGCAAGGCCCTGACTCACAAAACTGGGAAAAGCAGAGAGAGAGAGAGAGAGAGAGAGAGAGAGAGAGAGACCCAAAATAAAGTGAAGACTTGTTTGTTGTCTTCTGAGACATTATTTTTGAGTATCATTTTACTTTATTTTTGGTTTGTCAATTCATTTATTTGGTGTTTTTGAGATAGGGTTTCCCTGTAGCCCCAGCTGGCCTGGAACTTGGTATGTAGGCCGGGCTGGCCTTGAACTCACAGAGATTTGCCTGCCTGTGCCTCCCGAGTGCTGGGATTAAAGGTGTGTGCCACCACGCCTGACTAGTATCATTTTTTATTGTGTACTTCTGAAGATGTTTCAAATGGAGCTTTCTATTGGAAGTTCACTGTGAAGGCAACTGTAGACTGTATGTATGGAGTCATTCTCCTAATTGGAGTTGAAGTTCCTTAGAATCTTACTCATGACCGTTATTGTAAGAAATGGTTTAGCCAAGCTGGGCATGGCACAGGTTTGTAATCTACCACTTAAGAAGCTGAAGAAGAGGATTGCAAGTTTCGTGCCAGCCTGGGCTTCACAGCAGAATCCTGTTTCAGAATAGGCATTTAAGCTGCGTGTGATAGTACACACTTGGGATCCCAACATTCAAGGAGAGCCAAGAGGATTGCAGGAAGTTTGAGGCCAGCCTGGTCTATGAGACAAGTTCCTAGCCAGTCAGGGCTATAGAGTGAGACCCTATCTCAAAAAGCAAAAGAATGAAAAGCAGGAAAAGATGAGCCCAGGAGCTCTACTGCTGTGAGCAGAGAAATAGTAAGATTTCTGAGGGTGTGTGCCAGTTTTAACTACTGAGTTAAGTCTGTCATGCACTGTAGAATCCTAGCCCATAGAACGGTGCCACCCCATATAGAATGGGTCTTTATACCTCAGTTAACCTAATCTGTACAATCCCTGGTAGACATGCCTAGAGATTTGTTTCTATGGTGATTGTGAATCTTGTCACACTGACAATCAAGGTTAACCATCATACGATTTTGTTGCTATTTTTGTTTTGAGACAGGATCTCCCTATAGCCCCAGCTAGCCTGGAACTCCCTATGTAGACCAGGCTGGCCTCATTCTCACAGAAATCTGCTTGCTTCTGCCTCCCGAGTGCTAGGACTAAAGGTGCGCACCAGCATGCCCGGCTAAATTCTCTTTGTATCATTTCTTATTTGGTTTTGTAGTAATAAAAATGGAGCGGACTGACCATGGGAAAATCCTGTGTGATGGAACTGAGGCAGAGAGAGTTCTTAGTCATCGATGAAATTCGGTGCACATTTGGCACCATCCTCAAAGGATAGGTCCATCTTGAATGAGAATGCCGGTTTTCTTTTGATGTTGAACATTGCACAATTAAAAGACAGGTAGAACCATACTGACTTGGCTTTTTTTAGCTAATAATTTAGGAAAACTGTTAGCCAAGCTTGAGTAAAACTCAGTATTACAGCAGGAGCCTCTGGCATCCTCTGAGTCCATGTTTTGACAAGTTCCTGAAATGCTTGAGGAAAGCCTTCAAAATCCCAAGTCTCCAGCTAAAGCATCTTAGTATTTTCTTTTTGGGAAAATAAAATCTTTTTTCTATTATCCATTGTCTTTTATTCTATCCTACGTTTTTATATGGCTTTCTATGGAATTACATTTTATTTATACTTTCTAGCCTCACTTTTCATTTTGTTGAATATTGGTTGAGTTGTCATAAAAACTCTAATAAAAATCTTAATTTTATTTTTGTTTTTGATATGGGGGATCTAGGAATCTGATTGTAATAATAAGTCACTTGATAATCAGTGTAATCAGAACTCCAAGCAACAGTTACCTCATTTTTCAAAGAAAAACACATTTGTAAAGAACAAGGTAAAAATGTATTTAATCATTTTAATTTCAGAAACTCTGTGTGTTTATTGCCAGGAAATGGGAAATATGTGAAAATTTGAAAATTAAAATGCCCGTATGCTGATTTTTTTCAAATGTCTGCTTTCAAACTTCTTAGGACAATGTTTGTGCTTAACTGTGGCTGTTTAAAGTGGTGGTGGGAACCTGTTTCTTGTGTATTGTGTTTAAAAGATGTTTCCCATGTATACAAGTAATGCTTACCTAAAATGACAATATAATATGCCAGTGAGTATGGGGGATGAAACCCCCTTTGTCATCATTTACCTTAAAAACTATTATTTTGTAAAGATGAAGTTCATGGAATGATTTAACCACTAGAGTGTGACTGATTTGATAGATGTATTGCCAAAGACCTTCTAAAAGCTGTACACCCAGAATGAGCCATGGTTTTTGTTTGAACTTTCCCACTTTTTATGTACACTGTGCCAGATTAATCAGTTTTAAAAATTTGTTCATATACCTGCCTCTCACTGCCCTAAGAAACAGCAGCAGAGCTCCTGTGGTTCCATTCTGTACATGTGACAAATCAGCCCTTCTGTAGAAACAGAAATGTCAGCAGATTTAAGTCAATTACATACTGGTGGTAGAGCAGAGAAACTTACTCAAAATAAAATTCAATTTTATATTGGAATAGAGGAATCCCCAAGATACATCACGAGTGTAGATCACATAAAAGGGATCCCTGGAAAGAGGTGAAGAGGGAGTTCCTTCGACTTAATTTTATGCCAGATATATATACCTGTTAGATTAACTGTTATCATTTTTGTAGTAGACATTTGTAAGTAACATTTTTTACATTGCTTATGGGTTATTTTCCTCTTCTAGTATATAAAGAACACTTTGAAATTATCTAAAGGTAGTTGCTTTAACAGAGTAGTGTTAAAGCCAGCACAGGGCTAGGCATGGTGGTGCACATCTGTAATAGCAGCAAAGTGCCCTCCACCTGACACTGGAGAATTGCAAGATTCAGGCCAGCCTGGGCTACATAGTGAGACCCTCACCTCATTTCTAAAAAGGGAAATAAAATAACAAAAATATGAATTTAATCTTCAGGTTCCTGGGCTGTATAAGTATAGTTCTGTGGACTCTCTTTCTACAATCAAGATTAAGCCCCTGGTGCCTGCCAGAGCCAGTGGCCTAAGCAGGAAGCCAGCAGGCCTCCAGAAGAGGAAGCATCATGATGCTGAGAACAAGCCCGGGCTTCAGATAAAAATCAGCGAGCTCTGGAGAAACTTTGGGTTTAAAAAGTGAGTTGCCTGGTTCCTTGTTCTGAAGTAGGATAGAGCAATCTAGCAATCTCTTCTGTAACTCCAGTCCATCTCCCTGCTCTTTCTAGTTTCATAGGAATCAATTTCTTTTTCTCACTATCAGTTCTCAGTCTGGCCTGAGTCTCTGGTAAGTCCCCATTCCGCACCTTAAGTGTTTCTTTCTTCTTTCTCAGAATTGTTATGAGAACAGCATTTTAGACAGGAGGAGAGAGGGTAGGTAGTGCTGTGTTATCTTCAGGTGGTAACTGCTGACATGGGCCCTCCATAAATTTATAGGAATATGAAGGTTCTGGAAAACACTTTGAGAACTGCTACTATATATGCTTGCTACTAACTACACAATGTAAAATGACAAAGGACTGTCAAGTAGTTCTTGTTTATTGCCGTGTTTCCACTCACACCAGCTCATGTGACTGTAAGATTTCAGTTAGGTAAGGTCTTAGTACCCATGGTTTTTTTTTCTTAATTTTTATTTTATTTATTATTTTTATTTTATGTGTATGAGTGTATTGCCTGCATGTATGTGAGTGCATCCGTGTTGTACACTGCTGTGGAGATCAGAAGAGGGCTTCACATTCCCCTGGAACTGGAGTTAAGGATGGTTTGTAGCTGCCATGTGGGTACTGGGAATCAAACCTGGGTCCTCTGTAAGAGCAGTCAGTGCTCTTAACTGCTGAGCCATCTCTCCAGCCCCTGGTACCCATGATTTTAACTTAAACTTAGAATATTTGCTTTGTTGAGAAATACAAGAAAATTAACTATAAATTGACAGTACTCTATGGCTAACACTGACATCTAACACAAGAAATTGTAGTTAAAACCTATATAAAGGATCCATTTTTTTTAAACATTTTATTATTTTTATTTTATGTGTATGCATGTGTTGCCTGCATGTAGGTAAGTGCACCCTTCTGACCTCCACGGCATTGCACGACACAGGTGCACTCACATACATGTAGACAATACACTCATATACCAGCCATGTGCGTGCTGGTATTCAAATCTGGGTCTTCTGCAAGAATAGTCAGTGTTCTTAACCACTGAGCCATCTCTGTAGCCTCAAGGGTCCATTCTTTTAAGATGGTGCTTGCTACATTAAAAATTTGAAGCCGGGCGAGGTAGTGCACGCCTTTAATCCCAGCACTTGGGAGGCAGAGTCAGGCAGATCTCTGTGAGTTCAAGGCCAGCCTGGTCTACATAGTGAGTTCCAGGCAAGCTGGAGCTACAGGGAGACCCTGTCGAAAAAAGCCCAAAAAAAAAAAAAAATTTTTTTTGAAGAAAAGAATTTTAAATTAAAAAAGGGCCACTGAGGTGACTTATTAGGTAAAAGTGCTTACTACCAAGCCTGACAACCTGACTGTTCTGTGATGAATTGACACGGGTTATACATAAAGGGCTTTATCTACTTTATATGCCTGAATTTTCTTATATTTTCCCAAGTAAGTTATCACTCCTGTAATAATCAGTACCTGAAAAATCACCATATTGGTGTTATTATATTTTGTAGAGATTCTGAAAAGCTTGCTTCCTGTAAAAAGCCCCTGTCTCCAGTCAAGGACAACATCCAACTCACTCCAGAAGCAGAAGAGGAGATATTTAACAAGCCTGAGGGCGTGCGTGCTCAGAGAGCAATATTCCACTAAGCACAGGCTGTCGGGAGGCTGCTGCCTAAAAACAATCTTATCATCTTGAAAGATTTATTGATTGATGCTATTTTTTAAATGGAATACATTTTGTATATTATTTATATGACTTCCTTTTGCTCAGCTTTTTATATTTTCATAAAAAGCTACATAGAAGAATAAATCTCTTTGACATTTCTGCAAAGTATTAATGTTAATTGGACAAATCCCCTGAAATTGATAATACTTAAATGTTTCTGTAATGTCCAGTGAAGCTGTAATGGAAAACCACAAATCTCTTATCTTTTTATACCCTGGAAAAGGTAACTGTTTTCACTAAGTTTTAAGTTTTTCCAGCTGCTGTTTTGTGTCCTTTAAGGTTAAAGTTGTGGGGATGAAAGAGGCAGTTGGAAAGGTTACAAAGATCATGCTATCCTGGAAGGGTTCTGTTGGATTATAGGGTGACATCTGTCAGGTGAAGGCGGCCATTTTTTGTATCATTATGTGCTTTGATTTCAAAATGGCCTGATTTTCTTAATATATCTCCTTCAAGTATGGCCCCCAGACTCCTTGGCATTTATTTAAAGTTAGTGGCCTAAATGCTGTGCAGGATGCAGAAGCTGCAGACTCTGTGATCAGTAGTTCTGCAAAGAAATAGACAGAGGCTTAGAGAACTAGCCATACAAAGGGCAGATGGGAAATGGCAGGAAGAGAGGGTTGTGGAAGCCCTTGCTGTAGAGAGGATAGGTGAAGATCAGAGACTGCATGTTTGTAAGTGGGAAAAAAAAAAAAGGCCAAATTGACTCAATTTTGAAAAGTCCTAATTGGACAAAGAGCAGAGTTAGCTCTCCTTGAGTGTTGGCACAGAACACTCAAGGAGACATGGGCAGATGCTGTCTACAGGTGTTTACCTCAAATGCTACTCAAATATTAGAAAACAAGTACAGTGTACGTGCAGTGACTCACAGAAGGAGAAGGAGGCCTCAAACCAGGCTGAGGAGTCAGTAAAGAAAGGTTGGTGTCTCTGGGCAGAAGCCAGTCAGAAGTAGCATTCTAGATAGGCTCCACCAGTGGTGACAGGAAGTTTCCTGTGAAGCCAGAGGTAAAGGGTAAGGCTAGAATCAAGGTGATTTTGAAAACCTTTAAAAATAGTGCAGGGAGGCCGGGCGTGGTGGCACACACCTTTAATCCCAGCACTCGGGAGGCAGAGGCAGGCGGATCTCAGTTCGAGGCCAGCCTGGTCTACATAGTGAGTTCCAGGACAGCTGGGGCTACAGGGAGACCCTGTCTCAAAAAGACAGAAAAAAAAAAAGAAACAGTTCAGGGAAAGAGAAGGCAGTGCTACCACTTTCACATTCCACATCTCTACTTGACACTAGCCAGTTGGAATCAAGAGCTCACAGGCCCGAATGTGTGCGAGGAGCTGGCAAGATGGCCTGGCAGGTAAAGGTACTTGCCACCATGCTTGACTACCTGAGTTCAATCCCTGGGGCCCACGTGGTGGAAGGAGAGACTGACACCCCTGAACAACTGTGCCCTGGAACATGTGTGCCCTCCCCCACAATAAATAAATGTAATAAACTAAAAAGAAAAAACTTTTTTAATGTATCTGAAAATGAGCTCCAGACACCCCAAAAAAAGAGAAAGTGTAACAGATTGGTGTTGAGCATACAGTCAAACTAAGTTAAAAAGATCATAGAAAGATACCTGATAGGGGCTGGGGAAGTTCTTTTGAGAAACCTCAGTGACTCCATCTTGGATAAAACCTCCATAGGACTGACCCAGCCCTGGGCCCTGTTTCAAGAAAAACCACAACACTTGGAATGGATAGAGAACAACTCCCCTGTCAATGGTCAATTAACCAGGGACAGGAAAGTACTAAAAGTCCAGATACCTTTTCAGATTTCCTGAAGCCAGTTTATAGTTTGGCACTGGGCTGCAACCAATCAGATGTTTGCCAGGCTGAAGACCTCCCTACTCCCCTACTTGCTGAACTTGCTGAAATAAACCTATAAAAACCTCTGTCTCCCAAAGCAAGGGGTCTCACATTTGAGATCTGCTGAGTCGGTGACAGAGTGGACCCAAGCTCAAGCTTGCAACAATAAAAGAACCCTTGTGTGTTTGCATCAGTCGGCTCCTTGGTGGTCTTTGGGGGTCTCGGGAACTGGGCACAACACTGTGATGCCTAGCATCCAAACAATCCTGGCTTTATGCAATATATATATGGGAAGGGTTCACTGTACCCTTGGCTGGCCTGGAATTCTGTGTAGACCAGGTTGACCTCAAACTCAAAGTGATCTGTCTCTTGCCACCCAGGTCCTGAGATAAAAGACGTGTGCCAAGATCAGCCCCAATAACATTTTTGCTACACCAAGATTATGTGGATTTTGGTTTGTAAAACGTGTTGGTGGCAATCTGATAGCTGTTCTTTGGAGACCTGTGTATCATGTAGAATAGGTGAATGTGGGCTGCAAGCATGCCAATCGTAAACTTAATGTTCATACTGTATAGTAATCTGTTAGGCGTGCAGTAGAGTTTGTAAAGAATCCATTTGCCAGGCGGGTGTGGTGGGCACGCCTTTAATCCCAGCCTGGTCTACGTGGTTCCAGGCCAGCTGGGGTTCTATGTTTTAGTTACAAGTACTCCTAAAAGACACATACTTACCATGCCTCCAGCGAGTCAGATCTTTGCCAGTTAGCCTGCCTCCATGTGGATGGCTGCTGTTGGGAGGGGTGACCACAGCAGCTTAAGACAGCCCTGAAGTTTGCATGGGTTGACGCTTCCATTTGTGAAAGGTTTCTCTAGCATGAAGAATGTTTGGTAGTATTTTACTCACTTTGAGTTGCCTCTCAGCCTTCATAGCTTCCTGGTTTCACTGGACTTGGGTTTTGTGGTTGCCATGATCCATATCCCTCTGTTGTCTCCACCCAGCCTTGGTCTCTGGAGCTTGGTGGTAGGGCTTTCTCAATGATTCTGCCCTTGTGGTAGACCACTAATGTGTGGGCCAGGGACAGTTTCCCGGTTCTTCCCCAAGTATAGATCTATTTATTTTCTCTCAGCTGCTGTGGGTTTTCATCTGTGCCCTGGGGGCAGTAAGGTTTGCTGTTCTGTTGTTTCTTTGAGACAGTTTCACTAATTTGCCCATATAACCTCAGACTTGCTATGTAGTTCAGGCTGGCCTCTTAGCTGACAATTCTGCCATGGCCTCCTGAGTGCTGGGTTTGCTGTTCTGCAGTAGTTTGAGATTTTGTCTTTGTAGACAAAATGTTCTGCCATGCCCGCACCTCTTAGCCAGGCTTTTCTTGTCCTGCCCTCCCCAGTCTGTGTAGTGAGTACCCACTGCCAGTCCACAAGTGGTAGTAAAAGTGCCCTGAGTCTGAGGCTCTGGAGGTACTACAGTCACACCAGTCCATGCCTGTGCTTTAGAGACGTGTTCAAAGCGAGGACCCAGAGAGATGGCTCAGTGGTTAACAGCACTGGCTGTTATTGCAGAAGACCTGGGTTTGGTTCCCAGCACCCACATGGTAGCTAACAACCCTCAAAACTCCAGTTCCAGGAGATCCGATGCCCTCTTCTGGCCTCTCTGGGCATTGCACTTGCTTGCTGTGCTTGTGAACATGAGACAACAGATACACAAGTTTTTGTTTTTTTTTTTTTTTTAAAAAAAAAAACTAATTGGATTCTTAATTCTGTGTAGAGGCCCCATATTTCTTCCATACTAGATAGGCTAGTGTTACCATCCACTGTCCTTGGAGTCGCCTGTCTGTTACCATTTTTCAAGGTGCTTTTGCCTTCTAACACGAGCCTCT